GAAAGGGGGATAGAAAGGAAAAAGGATAGAGAGGCAGGAGTATAGAAGTAGGAGGATAGAGAGGCAGGAGGATAGAGTGGCCGAGGATAGAGGCAGATAAAAGAGAGGCCGGAGGATAGAGAGGCAAGAGGATATAGAGGTCCAAGGATAGAAAGGCTGGAGGATAGACAGGCATGGGGATAGAGAGGCAGGAACATAGAGGAGAAGGAGGATAGAGGCAAGACAATATAGAGGACAAAGGATAGAGAGACATTAGGATGGAGAGGCCTGGCCGATGGAAAGACTGGTCGATGGAGAGGCCTCATATTAGTTTATCATATCTGGGGTTAGCTCATGTGGTTTCACAGGGAAAGTAGATTCTAAATGCTTAAAAGTATATTCACATGGATATTATTTAAATCTACTGGGTGTGTGAGAATTTCAGTTTGTTCCCAGAAGGTTTGGGGTCAGCCGTCCTAGCCGGCTGCAAAGAACATGGCATGGGACCATTTTAGACTAATGTGAATGTCATCGCTAACCCATTCATATGACAACCCCTAACAACAAGAATCCGTTAACTGCAGTCTTCAATATGGATTGAAGCTCAATATCAAGAAAAAAGAGTTTCTCACCACTGGGCCAATTGGCAGCATCATGATAAATAGTGAAGAGATTAGATTGTGAACAGTTCAGTTTACTTAGCTCCACAATCAACACTCTTGATCCAGGAAATCAGAAGATGAATTACATTGGGAAAATTGGCTGTCAGGGACCTCTTCAGAGTACTGAAGACCAACGATGTCAGTCTGGAGACTAAGGTATGCCTGATCTGTGCCATGGTCTTCGCAAGTACTTGCTATACATCAAAGAGATGGACTGTGAATAAGGATGATTGAAGAATTGATGCCTTTGAGCTGTGGTGCTGGAGAATAGTATTGAATATACCATGGACTGCTAAGAGAACAAATAGGTCCATCCTAGACAGAGTGAAACCAGACTGCTTTTTGGAAGCAAGGATTTTGAAGCTCCATCTGACATACATTGGACATGTTGCAAGAGGGGGACCAGTGCTTGGAGAGGAACATGCTTGGGAGGGTGGAGGGACAGAATAAGAGAGGAAGAGCTTGGATGAGATGGATTGACTCAGTAACTGGGTTATAGGGATAGGTGTGTCAGAGACATTGAAGAGTTCAGAGTTGTTGTACATAGGGTCGCTATGAGTTGCAAGCAACTCAACAGCACATAAAAACACGAGAATTCCTGCAGAACAACACTCCTACCCAGCAAACATCTCAACTTGCCTTGGTGATTTTTAGAGATGGGATTTTCAGTTTATCAGGGAAAGTAATTTTGTTCACAGAGATGCCTCTGACGCTGTGTTATTCCTTCTACTCAAGGGGACGGCCCATCTACAGCTCCTTCCATACTAGCTCTTTGCAGTACCCTCTACATTTCCTCTAAGTCCTCACTCTGGTAATCGCCTCTTCCTCTCTGGAGAAACACATAGGTTGCTCCATTTTTCATTCATCTCTCTTCAAGTGTAAGAGAGAAACTCTTGGAGTGCCCTGCTCTTCCTCCTTCCCTGGATTCTTCCCCACGCCATATGCTGTCATTCCCAAACCTCTCATTGTCATGAACACCCCGTAGGCAACTTGGAGTTTATTTTATATACTACTGTGTTTCACTCAAGTCATACACATGTTTCAAGTAGCAAACATCCTTTATTTGTTCTTTCATTCTAGATCCCAAGAGATGAACCTGGATCTTATGTTCCTTGGAATATACGTGTGTGAATCAAATATAATCTTCTGGAGAAAATGAAATGACTCTTCCAACATATCACTCTATCCAGTATCTATGATTTAATTTGCCGTGTCTGATAGACAGATGTTCACAACCCAGTTGTAATTGCTTTGTGATAGTCTATCTAGATTTTCAAATTTGAAATGTTCCATTTATATTTTGATAGATAGACTTCAGCAACTTAGAAATAGTTTTAAAAATTGTATAAATACTGATTTCCTCTATAAAGATATTATCTGTTATTCTGTCTCTCTGATCTGTCCAGTTGAATGGAATAAAAGATGATGATTTGCAAGTGATTCGTATTTGGCATGTATCTACCAATAGAAATTATACTGCCTACTTAAAGGCAATTTTCTATTTTTTTTCTTCCATATGCTGTCACCTTCCTTCTTATGTCAGAATGTATTCAGACATCGTTCATGTGTCATGTGTCAAACCACTAACCCAACTGTCCATGGTTCAAATCCATGAGCTGCTCCATGATTTCAAAGATGGACAATCTCCTCCTCGAAAGATGTACAGCCTTGGAAACTCAATGCAGGGTTGTTATGAGTTGGACTTAACTCAGTGATAGTGAGAAAAAGTTCAGCCAGAAGATTTCTTGAATGCGGAGATAACAAAGCTTCATCTCACATACTTTGGGCATATTGTTAGGAAAGGCTATTCCTTGGAAAAGGCACATCATACTTGGAAAAGTGGAGAGTAACCAGTTGGATTCACACAGTGACTGCACCAAGGGCCTCAAGTATGTTAGAGATGATGAGGATAGAACAAGAGCCAGACCTGTTGTTCATCAGGTTGCTATGATTTGTACTTGATGACACAACAGCAGTGATAGTGGATACTGCAAAAGAAGGAGTCTTGGTAGCATAATGAGTAAAGTTCTAAGCTGCTAACTAAACAATCAATATTTAAAACAAAATATGTATGTATGATTAGTTGAATGGAAAACCAATTTGCTTGGTAGTTTTACTCAGATCCCAATAAAGAGCAAATAAACTGAAAAAAATTATTGTTGTTGTTGTTATGTATTTGATATATTGTTATGAGCTGGAACTGACCCGTAGCTGACCTTCCAGCAGGTTTTCAGAGGCAGTTAATCGGACAGGAAGAGATTGCCCATCTTTCTCGCACAGAGCAACTGTTGGATTCGAAGCGTGTATTTTTGTGTTGACGGTGCAGTTGGCTTTGACTTGCTGCAACCTTGTGTACAACAGAAGGAAGCACTGCATGATCCGCGGCCACCCTCATGTCCTCTGCTGTGCTTAAGCCCACAACTGCTGTCAACATGTCAATCTTTTTCATTGAGGGTCTTCTCCCTCTCCTTTGTCATGATATGCTTTTCTAGGGACCGGTCCTTCCAGACAATATGCCCAAGTATGTGAGATGAGATCTCTCCATCTTTCTAAGGTGCATGCTCGCTGCCCTTCTTCCAAGATGGTTTTGTTCTTGTTGTTCCTTTGGTGGTCGGAGGTATATTCAATATTCTTTACCAACACTATAACTCAAACACACAGATTCTTCTTCAGAAAGATTATGGCCTCGGAAACCCTGTAGGGAGGGCAGTTGTACTCTGTCCAATAGGGTCATTATGAAACATCCTCAACTCAGTGGCAATGGGGTATGTGGATCAAAGGAGAGCACTGACGGTGTACTGATCATTATCACTCAGCTGCTAACCAGAAGGTTGGCAGTTCAAATCCCAGCTACTCCATAGGATGCAGATGTGACATCTAATCCATAAAGATTTACAGCTTTAGAACCTCTGCGGGGGAGTTCTATTCTGTCCAGTGGGGTCACTATGAGTTGGAATGGCTTCACAGCAGTGGATTTGGTTTGAGTTTTATATATATCTAAATAAGTAAAGAGCTCTTCAACTTGACAGGAAAAAGACAATCTAATATTAAAACTGAGTGAGTTAGTTGATTAGATATGTCTCTAATGAAGATCCATAAATAGCCAAAAAACACATGGAAGTATGTCCAACCTCATCTCTAACTCACTGCTGCCAAGCTGGAACTGACTCACATCTGACCCTCCAACACGTTTCCAAAGCTGTAAACCATGTAGGAAGAGATTGCCCATTTTCATTCTGTAGAACCACTGGTGGATTTGAACCCCTAGAGACACTTAGCCTTTGGCTTAGCATTCCAACTTCCTAAGGACCAAGCCATCAGAGCTTGTCCACTTGTTATGAGAAAAATGCAAATAAAAACTTAAGTGAGTTGCTATTTACATCCACTAGTATATCTATAATAAGAAAGAATGAAGAGTGATGGCAAAGATTGGAGAAACTGGAACCCTCATACATTGCTAATGTTAATGGAAGATGGTGCAATTGCTGTGAGATACTCTGGTATAGTTCTTCCAAAAGTTAACCAGAAAGTAACCACTGTCATTGTTGTTGGTATGTGCCATTGGGTCACTTATGACTCATAGTAACACTACATACAACAGCTCTGAACCCAGCTGTATCCTGAGCCAACCTTATTGTCTCTGACCCCATTACCCAGTCACTGAGTCAATCGATCTCATCCAGGGTCTTCCTCTCCTATGCTTTCCCTCCACCTTCCCAAGCATGATATCACTCTCCAAAGACTATTCCCTCCCTGAAACATGCCCAAAGTATGTCAGATAGAACTTTAAAATCCTGGCTTCCAAGGAACAGCCTGGTTTCACCCCCTCTAACACAAACTGTTTGTTATCCTAGCAGTCCATGGTATATATTCAGTACTCTTCTCTAGCCCACAACTCAAAGGCATCAATTCTCCTTCATCCCTAGTCATTATCCAGCTTTCTGATGCATAGTTAGTAATTGTGAAGATGATGGCTTGGATCAGGTGCACCTTAGTCTTTAGACAGACATCATTTGTCTTCAGTACTCTAGATAGGTCCCTGATAGCAGATTTCCCCAGTGCAATTCATCTCCTGATTTCCTGGCTGCTGGTACCAAGATTGTGGAGCCAAGCAAACTGAAACTGTTAACAATTTCAATCTCTTCACCATCTATTATGATGCTGCCAACTGGCTCAATGGTAACAATCTTTGTTTTCTTGATGCTGAGCTTCAGTCTATATTGAGGACTATAGAGCTCCTATTCGTTGGGAACCACTTTGAGTCAGATTGTTCAAGGAATAGAATGACAGCAGAAGAATTGATGCCTTTGAGCTATGGTGTCAGTAAAAAGTACTAAATATTCTATGGACAGCCAAAAGAAGAAATAGATATGTCTTGGAAAGGGTACAACCAGAGTGCTCCTTGGAAGCAAAGACAGTGAAGCTTCATCTCTTACTTTGGACATATTGCTAGAACAGGCCATTCCTTAGAAAGTGATACCATGCTGAGAAAGGCCAGTGAAAGAAAGGAAAATCCCTATTAAGACAGAATGACACAGTGACTGCAGCAATGGGCTGAGGCATATCACAGATGATGAGGATGACACAGGATAGGACACAATTTTTTCCATGTTTTTTTAAATTTGTTGTTAATTTTATTATTATTATTAATTTCAATGAAATTTACAGAGACTTTGGATTTTCATTCATTCATTGTTGCACTTTTCTCCCTGTCCTCCCCTCCCCCCCATTCACGCTTCTTTTTGAAAATTAAAGGAAAATTCTTTCGTTGTTTTACAAACCCTCCCCCAGGTCCATGCCACTATGCAGCCTTTGTTCTGGACTCCTGTCATGTCATGACAATAATACCTAATCACATATCCCTTTTAAACAGTTTTCTCTCTCATCTGTTTCAATATAGTATACATTATTTATTCCATCTTTCTCAGTCTCCCCCCAACCCAGATGTCAGTCCTGTTTTACAACAGTGGCACTATGCAGTATTTGTCCTTTGTGACTGAGATATTTCACTCAGCATAATGAGAATAGGACACAATTTAAATCTGTTGTTCATAGGTAACTATGAGTCATATTCAACTCAAAGGCACCTAACAGATGAAGAGTTAAGGTTTAGGAGCATTTAGGATATGGTTCTCTGGTCAGGACATCCTCTTCTGGAAGGTGCAAAATAGTATACTTCTTCCATCCTCATGTCTTGGCTTGGGCTTGGGCCCTGCTTGGGCTAACATCAAAGAACTCTTTTAGTTCTGCCAATTATGTGCCAAGAGTCACCTCTATTGTGCCAGTAAGTGCTCTAAGGTATCCATCCACCCCAGAAGTGGCACTTTCTTGCTCTGGGGACTATGAGCCCAAAACTCTGTCTCATACTAACTAGTCTTTGGTTCCTGTCACCTCTGTTGCAGTGCTCTCATAACACTTTTGGGAGCTGGGATCTCTTTTCTCTGATGTTACAGCTGTTTCTGTTTCTCAGATCCCAAGCATGTGCAGTACCTTCCAGCTCTCATTTTTTGTTATAGCAAGCTCTCTGTTTTCCTCTTTTGCTATGGCTCATTGTAAACCTAGAAGGATGGTGAAGCTGGCCAATCCTCATGTTAGTGGTTTACAGATCGTATTTGCGTGGTGCAACCCACAAGGTTGCCATGTACTTTATTTACATCATTAATGAGCTATTCAATCCCCTTGTTGGCCCCAAACCACTCACATTTACAAAGTCTTTTCAGACACTGGGGTCATTTTTTAGGACACTTCTCCTTTAATGGTTGGCTTTCTTATTTTAGAGCAGCTGTGACCTGGAAGTTGAGGCTTTTTTTGATCCCACAGCCCCTTTGGGTCCTCAGAACTGTGGTCCCATCAAGCCCACAGCCCCCTCAGGCCTTGTGTAAAGCACCACTATTAAAGCTCCAGCAGAGACTTTTCTTTGACTTTAATTTCCATACCTGGGATATTACCCCATAGTGCCAGCTATGAGTCATAGCTGGAATGCTTCAGCATCCACCCAGGAGCACATCCTGCCACATCAACCCAAGCTTTAAATAGATCCAGTAACTTCGTATTTGTATGCCTGATTTAATATTAGAACTACAACAGTAATCTCTCAGTTTGTTGCCTTGGGGGAATTTATTGTTCTAATT